ACCTTCGTTCTTCAGAAAAAAATCAACCATCATTCTTAGGCTCTTAAAAAAATTCACAATTGTTCAAGACACATTTCAACTTTGGAAGTGTTTATAAAATTTCCAAAATTGTAAATTTTTGTAGTCTCTCCCTTTGGATAATTGTTATTTTCATCAAAATAGAACAAAAAATTTAAGACATCAATTTTTTTTCAAATATTTTTTGATCTAATTTTCATAAGCTGTAATTCACTGTTTATTATTATTTTCAAAATTCTTCTTTTTTCTTGTAATTTTAAATATTTATAAGTTTTTCTTGGTGTTTGGTGCTACTGCTACAACTGAGAGAAACTTTATTCAACGAACTACGGTGTAATTGTACAAAAAAAAAAGAATTTCAAGGTGTAGACGATTGGGATTCATCAACCAAAATCTTCCAGAATAGATTCAACATTTTAGATAAGTTACTTTTTCATTTATTGACAACCTACGTAAATTAGTCTTTTGAATAAAATGTCGACAATTTTAAGGTTAGGTTACTTGATTTTCTTATATTATCCACCCCAAATCTTCTACACCTTAATAACAAATTATCTTCATCTACATAATTAATTTTATAATTATCGATATGTAAAAATGTGAATTGAAAAACTTTTTATTTAAGAAAATCGTCATGAAAATGCTACTAAGTGAAACACATGATCGTTAAATGAGTATATATGCAATATTTGAAATGAAGTGTTTAAAAATATTTCAAAAATTTATCATTTTATCAGTAAAAGATTGTCCATTAACATTTTTTTTATTCAATATTTATTTTTGTAAATATTTTTTGTTTTTTTCATTGATTTCTCATCATCGGATTATTGAGTTAATATTTTTTTTTGTGTTATCACCCTTACGTCTAGTTAATATTATAATCAATACTTTTGTTCTTATCAAACATCGAGATTTCTAAATGAAAAAAAGAATCAAGGGTTGGAAATTATGGAAATATTTTAAAAATTAGATTTTACAATTCGGTTTCTAATTTTAAAATATTTTCCAAATTTCCAAACCTTTAAAAATAATTTGAAAAACAAACAAAGATAATATCTTGGAAAAAAGAGTTTAAGTTCCATTCTGATTTAATTGCCGTTAAAAGACAATATTGATTACATTCTATATCATTAGGGCATTTATAATCAGTAAATGGGTTGGCAATATTGTCAGTTGTAGATTTATTTTATCTTATTTGCATACTTCTTTCAAAATTGTGGATTAAGGAAGTAAGAAAAAGAGTTGTAGATGGATGGGATGATGTTTCATTTGTATAAAAGAAAATTGATTCTATGGACAAACATTTTTTCTGTAGATTGATTGAATTTCGTAAAGGGATATTGATGGATAAGTGTGATACTGCTAAATATAGATGACCAGAGCATTACAAAACAAGCAAAATCATTTGAATGTCGGATTGGATAGCAAGGAGGTGTTGACTCGAACCACAATCATAAATTAAATTAACTTTAGGAACCAAAAACCTTTGTTCAACTTTAGTTGAGTTTTTGAAATATCTTCCTATGGTTAATCGACTTGATTCCTGAGCTGGCATTTAAACATAATCAAAACTTGTTTAAGTCTCAGTTCAAGTTTTATTTAATTGGATCTCAATCACAGCTAGACTAATTTGGCGAGTTTCAACTTAAATTCAGGTTAAAATGTTAATTCTAGAATTTAGATTTTTTCTTAACTATGAATTAGCTCTGTTAGCTCAAAATCAATTTTTAAAACCGTAAATCTTAAATTTCGCCAACAAAACTTGCAAAAAACTTAAACCTTTGAAATAATAGCAAGAAACCCATAAAAAATATATTTTTATAACATTTTCTTATTTCACAAATGGAAAAACACAAGAATTCTTTCATCATCTCCAGTAAGATACATGAAAATATCATTCCACCCATTTCACAAGAAGCTTTCATATAAAAAAGCTCGCATTTACTCTCTTCATTTCCACGCCATCAAATCACCGAAATGTGCAAATTACTTTAACAAATCGACAACTGCCAGTGAAATTTTGTAAGTTGAATAGCGACAACAATACATTGGATGTCATTTGAAAAAATCATCTCTCGTATGTGGAAGATAAATGGAAGGGAAAATAAATTAATAGCACAAAATTTTTGATTTTATTAATTTAACAGTAAATTAGATGAAGAAATTTTTTTCAGCATTTCTTAAGTCATTTTTTCATAAGATGATGACCTACATTAAGAAAGACTATCTAGGAGCAGATTCAGAATATTTTTTGTTATTTTTTATTTTATTCAATTTTGACACTTCAAAAATGTATAAGTTTGATCCTTTTTTTTAACTTATGAGTTTGACTCGACTATTTAATGTAAACATGAGAAAGACAGTAGAATGGACAGATTTATGCGGATCTTGCGTTTGATGAATGTCTGGGGTGTAATATTATTTGCTGGAATGAAAATTTTTTGTAGTGTTAAATTTAACATTTTTCATAAAGAATTTAGAACTTTTTTTTCTCTCTCTCGAATGCAGCTTAAGGATAGCTCTAAGCAAATATTAACACAGGTTTTTTTATTAGGGAGCTTCGCATTTTTTTTTCTCGCCGAAAGTTACATATTCATAACATGAATTTTTAAGACTCTTTTTTTCTTTATTTACCCAACCTTTTGACGATGATAATATATTCGCTACTTAATTTTTAATATTCATCCCCTCACCTTTCATTCCAAACAGAAACAATTTTCAACATTAGAATTTTTTTTATTACAAAAATCCACGTGTTCTTGAGAATTATTTTGAGAGTACTTATTACGGAGTGTCAAGTGACGTGACTTAAAATGACTTTGCATTTTAGCAATTCCCTGTATTTATTAGCTTTAATGATTTTGTAAAAATGTTGGATTTGAAATATTTTTTTGTAAATTTTTTCTCTAGCCTTGGAGACTTTGGGATGTTAAGCATCAATGCAGGAGAGTGGTTCAAGTAAACACTTGATTGTATGTATAATATTAGGACAGAGTAATATTTTCATGCGTGTCATCAACATCCCAAAGTTTACAAGTCCAAAAAATCTTTGATTGAAGTTTTCTAGCAAAATGTGAGGGCATCCTTGCAAGACTCTTACATTCTAATGTTTTAATATTTTTGGGGATTTAAAGTGAAAATTCATTAAATTGGAATTGTGTTTCATGTAAATGTCCTGATTATTTCATCTTATAAAGAATTTGTGATTATTATGATTCACTTTTTCACGTTAACATCTTAGGAGTAAGACATTACCGATATCGGACACAACATGCGGTTCGTGTTATTTCCAAAAAAACTTTCGGTACACCAGTGTGACGTGGCACACAGTTTAGACAACAATGATTTAAGGTTTTTAATTAAAATATTGATTTTCTTGGTTTCAAAAAACACATCCATTTAATTTAAAAATTTCAAAATATTTCTAAAACTCTTGTCTGATAGTTTAAGATTCTTGAACTTCCACGAAAAAGATAATTTAAGTTAAATAAATTCATTTATTTGATCCAGGACACTCACAAGAACACCTTCTCACAATTTAAAGTCCATTCTACTCGACAGATTATCATTTATGCGAAATTTGTTTGCAAATATTTAGTTTCACTTACTTTAACAATTTTTATTTTATTTTAATCAAACTTGTTTTTTTAAATCCATATTGCTCTACCTTATTTGAGCATCAGCTCACAAATAAAAAAATTTTAATTTTTTTTTTATTTCATAAGCTTTGCATTTTCCCCCCATAAATTTTATATGTATATTTACGTTGAATGCTTTAAACAAATTTGTTTTTACTCAATTTTTATTTTGCATTTTTTTTATAAATTTTATTTTGCAAGAACAGAAAAATCAACGAAATTTAATTTTATTTCGCGCTCAATAATATTACAAGTCAAGTTTAACAAAAACACTCAATTGCTTTTTTTATGAAATATATTGGTAACGTAATAATATCACTTTACATATTACATAAAATTCAATACAATCGGCTTTTTTTTTTAAAATAAAAGGAATTTAAAGCAACTTTATTGGAATTTGATGAGAAATTTAATTTGAATTTTTGTTGATTTGTGGGACCATGTCTGCGGTATAGTTCAAATAATGCTTTAAAACTTTTAGTACCTCAATAAAAAACTTGTAATTTCACACATTTTACTATGTGGGTTTAATAATCGTCATTACATTTTATTTTCGTCCTTTTTTTTCTCTCAATCAAACTTTAAATTTTCATCATAATTATTTTTATTTTCAAATAAAATTTTAGAATCTCGTATAATTTTAGAATGCAGACTTTAAAGACTCATCACCATGAATTGCATTAAAAATTTAAAAGAGAAATAAAAATTAAAGATTAGAAGGGAAATACTGATAATTAAGAAATATCCTCGATTTTTTTGACACAATTTTTAAGCTGGTAGTCAAAAGATGGATTTTTGGTATTATTCGGTTACTGGCAAGTCCATAAAATACAGCACTTTGGTTTTTTTGATGCTTTTATGTCTGTAACCATTCCAAAAAAGGTTACGAACATTATTGATAAAATAAAAGATCCTTCAAAAGATCAGTTTTCCCTTTTCAGGTCTAGAAACCTAAGTTTTATAGTTGAGTAAATTCATTTCGAATCTCAATCATCTTTTGACTATCGCTAATAATACAAAAACTCAAATAACATTTTTGACATTTTTTTAATATTCAATCGGGAAGACTAGAGTTAACAAAAACAAATAAAAAATCTTTAATGTATCATTTTTTGTTCACAAGCAAGGTACTCACTTAGACAGCACTTGGAATTTAACGTTTCTTGGTAGTTTTTAATGCTGATGAAGCACAATTCATAATTTCAAATTAACAATAATACTTAGTTGAGAATTTGTCAGCTACATGCTTTAATAATAATGAAGAAAAAAGGTTGAAAAGATGCTTAAACAATAGCAACAGTGAAACCAGCATGAATAAAATGATGGAAAAAATATCATTTAAAAATCATGGGTTTGCAATAATTATTTATCGTCATAGATTTATACTGCTTTAAACCATAAACTTGAATACTTAATGAAGAAAAAAAGGAAACTATTCATTATGGATTAATGATTATTAATAGTCAAAAGTAAAGATATCTTTTTCATTTTTGATTGTTTTTCTCAACCCATTAATCATAACTAATTCATAAGTCAACAAATAGCTTAAATGTGTTGAACATATTCAGGATTTAAGTATGAGAATCCATTAAATTCAGTTTGATCGAGATTCATCATGAATAATTTATCTGTTGGCGTAAGATCTGTCTTTTCTGATGTGAACTGACGATCAAAGTTTGAGACGTCTTTGCGATGTTTCTGTGAATTGATAGGAAAAAAAAGAATTAAAAATACAAGCGTTTGGTGACTTTAGTGCATTTTTATGGACAGTGAGGCTTGATGAATAGATAGGATTTGTTATTAAAGATCATAGTCAATTGGTCTGGCTCTAGATGTCATTTAGGCATACGTATCTATGTCATTATGTACGAATTAAATATATATCCAAACAATAAAACTGATCAAAACATGTATGTAAGCAGAATCTTAAACTTATAGTTCAGTAGACAAACTTCAAGTTCAATAAACCTCAATATCCATAAAAACAAGCTATCTACAAAGGATATACATGCAAATAAATAACAAAAAAGGAAACATACAATTTTTGGCTTGAATGGTGGCTGCACTTCACGATTCTCAATCTTTTCCCAATCAATTCGTCGGAAGAAGGTGTGATTCCTAACATCATCTTCGCCATTTGATCCACAACCTAATCTTTTTGTTGGATTCTTTGTCAATAACTAAACGGAAAGAAACAGAAATTAGAACTTTGATTTGACACAATTATGAAATTTTTCCGTACCCCTTTGCAGACATCCTTCGCCTCTTTACTTAAGCTCTTAGGATATGACACATTATGATCTGTTATGGCTGCAAACAGCTCTTCTTCATCTTCACCGTCAAATGGTGGTTGACCTACAAGCATTTCATACAGCAATACACCATATGCCCACCAATCTACGCTCTTTCCATATGGTTGATATAATATAATTTCTGTAAAAAAATGAGATATTGTTTGAGCTTCTTTTATTCATTCATTCATTCCTTCCAACCCCAAAGGCAAACTTACCTGGAGCAATGTAGTCACTGATGAAAAGAAAATTGAATAAAATAAAGTTTTATTTTAAAAAAAGTTTTTTTTTGCTGATTTTAAAGGTAGCAAAAAAAGATGAAACTTACGGAGTTCCACAGAATGTTTTTGTAGTTTTATCGTTTGCTATGTTCTCTTTACACATACCGAAGTCAGCTAAAAGTAATTGGAATTATTTTATACATTAGAATAAATTTATTCAAACTATCTCAATTTTTTTTTTCATCCATTTATTGGATATGAAAAGCAAGTCGTTTTCACATGACTTGACTAAACAGCTTCTATCATTTTTAATGATAATTGAAAAAGATTTGTTCCTTGTGGTGGTTTCGTGTGAATGTTGCGATCAGAGAGCAGCTTTTTAACATTTTTCTATACCTTAAAATAATTTTAAGTTCCAACCCTGCTAATTATAAGTCTCCAGTCTCTTATTTGTTTATTTAACTTGGACCAATTGTTCAGCCAAATGATTCCCCTTTCTCTGACTTCTTAAAAGTTTGACGTAAGTGAAAAAACTTTATTTTAAAGCAACAGTTTTTTTTTCAGTTTCATCTCGAAAATTCCACAAATGCATCATTCCCCATCCCTATCACACATCCCACACAATTCAATCATGATTGACAATTTTCCACCGGGAATTCAACAATGAGAATAAAAATCGATCAAGGTGAAAGCTTTTATAAGGTGATATGTATGGCATAAATCTAAAAGAATCTGAATTATTCAACAAGCTTTTTGTTTTATTCAACTGTCGAGTTTATTTTCATATTCAATGGCTTGATAGTTCTTAAGAAATATTGTTTTCAGTTCATGAATCGAATTGAATTGAATTGAGTGCTTCTAAGTAAAAAATGGTGGAATTGCTTTAGGAAAAAAATTGTAAAAATAGAAAATTTGAGAAAAGTTTCAATGATCGTAGCTCATTCACTGTCAGATGTTAATTTTCCCATTCCTATTCATTTCCTCATAATTATCTTAGACATCAAAATTCAGTCATTACTGAGCCTAATTACAATTAAGAATCCTCGAACGAAAAAGTTTTTTTAAAGCAATTAAATACTTACCAATTTTAATGTGTCCATCTTGATCCAACAAAACATTGTCTAATTTCAAGTCACGGTAAATGATACCGCAAGTATGTAAGAAGAATAATCCAATGGCAATTTCAGCAGCGTAGAATCTATTCAGTAATGAGCAAAAAAGAGGAAGAAAATGAAGAGAAATAATTCAGAATATAAATGCGAAGGATATAATTAATTAAAGATATTAATAATCATTGTAGGTATGAAGATTCTAGAAGATAACAGATAAAGAATAAAATTTTCATAATTTGTTGATGCAAAGAAATAACAAAATTTTTACTAGAGTCGTGAAGCTCATGTAGACATAAAAATAGCAATTTCGATTTATGGCGAAATGAAAGGAAAATCAAAATTTTTACATCATTAGCCATTTATGAAAGCTTTTTTTCACATGCATCAATGCGTCTTTAAAGGCTTCTTCTCATCGAGGAATAAAAAAATCTTCAATATTTTGATTGTTTAAAAAGAAGATTCGTGAACGATTTTAGGCAATCAAAATTTATGATATTTATATAACAAAAATAGCAGAAAAAAAGGTTATCTGAATTTCATGATTTTGCCGTTATTTGAGGGCAGGGTGGGGAGAATTTAGTGAATTAAATCACAATTCATAAATCAAAATGTGAATTTGATTTAAAATCTCATTAAAAAATGAGTTGAGTTTTGAGTTTGAGTTTTTTTCTTTGAAAATTGAGTTTTGAGTTTTAGAACAAAATTCAAACTCATTTCGAAATGAGTTGAGTTTTGAGTTGGAATTTTAAACTCAAATCAAACTCACTGTGTTAAAAAAATTCTTCATGAAATTTCCAAACAATATATGAAAATTATCCCTTTTGCCTTCAAGTTCCTTATGAAAATTCATTCTGGATTATTTGCTGATCTAATTGGATCTTTTGGTTCCAAAAGCTTTGGAATCAAGATTATAGCAAGCAATGCTTTTCAGAGTTTTCGAGCGAGAAAATCTTTGTAATGATTATTTTGTTGACTGCGCCTTTATGCTTACATAATATGAAGCCCACGTAACTGGACATGATTGAGCATTACTGGATGTGGCTGTACATAAGGAACTGACTCCTTCCATTATTGTAAAACCTTTTTCTGCATGATTTTTGTTCACAAAGTGTTCCATGATGTGGATATTCACTTAGAACAATGGATAGGCACTGGAACTACCCGGTTCCGTTACATCCACAAAAATTTTTTTTGTTCCTTTTTCATCAAGGAATCATCTCTGAAAGTTAAAATTTTTTTGCGGAACTAGCCGGTTCCTTTGGTGCCTGATGGTTCCAAATTCTTAATATGAAGTCACTAAAGCATAAAGCATCATATTAAGTCACTTCTAGTAGTCGAGGACCAAAGGAACTGGTTAGTTCCGCAAAAAAATTTTAACTTTCAGAGGTGATTCCTTGATGAAAAAGGAACAAAAAAAATTTTTGTGGATGTAACGGAACCGGGTAGTTCCAGTGCCTATCCATTGTTCTAAGTGAATATCCACATCATGGAACACTTTGTGAACAAAAATCATGCAGAAAAAGGTTTTACAATAATGGAAGGAGTCAGTTCCTTATGTACAGCCACATCCAGTAATGCTCAATCATGTCCAGTTACGTGGGCTTCATATTATGTAAGCATAAAGGCGCAGTCAACAAAATAATCATTACAAAGATTTTCTCGCTCGAAAACTCTGAAAAGCATTGCTTGCTATAATCTTGATTCCAAAGCTTTTGGAACCAAAAGATCCAATTAGATCAGCAAATAATCCAGAATGAATTTTCATAAGGAACTTGAAGGCAAAAGGGATAATTTTCATATATTGTTTGGAAATTTCATGAAGAATTTTTTTAACACAGTGAGTTTGATTTGAGTTTAAAATTCCAACTCAAAACTCAACTCATTTCGAAATGAGTTTGAATTTTGTTCTAAAACTCAAAACTCAATTTTCAAAGAAAAAAACTCAAACTCAAAACTCAACTCATTTTTTACAGAGTTCTTAAATCAAACTCAAAATTCAATTCATTTGAAAATGAATTTGAAAATGAGTTTTGATTTAATTCACCCACCCTGTTTGAGGGTATTATTTATGAATTAATGGAAATGGTTGTTTAATGTTCGATCAAATTTGCTTTAAAAATGAGTAAAATGTTTTGGATGCTGAAAAGTTGAATTTATTCATGAATTTTAAGCAGTTACAGACAATTTTGAAACTCTAAAAGAGGATAGAGGTCCGTGATGGAAGTAGGTTTGGGTATGAACTTAGGAGCTGATTCAAATATACTCCTAATATTCTTAGTTTTCAGTGGATTGACTACAGATTTTTACTAGATTTTGCTAAGGAGTCGTTCACTAATGACGTTTATATTTTACAACTCACAACCTCCCCCCCCTTTTTTTCGTGAACTTTTTTTTAAAAGACAGACGACAATTAGAACGTTACATACTTCTTGACCCTCCCCCCCCCCCCCTATGTTACATTTTGTTACAATTTTTCAACCCCGCCCCCCTAAAATGCGAACGTAATAAGTGAACGGCCCCTAAGCGAGCAATTGTATTTGAAGGACGTAAATTTAAGGAAATTCAGAAGCGAAGTGAAATTTGTCCTTTAATTGATTCTCCTGACTTTGTCCTTGACAATATCAATGCTAATAATTTCAAATAATAAATTCACATTAAATGCATCTGGTTTTTGAGGATTTATAAAGTCATGAAACTCTTGACCAACTTTCTATTAAGTCATGCAAAAAGAGCAAACTACAGAGATCCCAAAATGAATCCATTTTTTTTCCAAATATCAAATTTTACCATTCTTTTGTTGCTCTTTATTCATGCATTAAATATTACTCATTTTTGCATGACAAATCTGGTTATATAATCATATTAAATGAGAGAAAATCTTTTTGTACGAGAGAATACCACAAATAAACATAGTTATAAGTTACGAAATTTGATCGAAATTAACCGCAATACCACAGTAAAGTCTTAAAGTATTGAAGAACAACAACAACACAAAAAAGCTGATAAATGAAAACTTTTTCTTTAATATTATGCATGAAAAGTTTCTAAATGAAGATTCTTTACGTTTTTATTCTTTCTTCCTACATTCTCATTTTTGCAAAATGAGCAGAAAAAAATGTTCAAATGTCAAAATCTCAATTTGAATGGAACAGAGAGAAGAAGATGGAGATGAAACAAATTAGTGTGGGTGTGAAACTAAAGAGCATCTCTTTTAAAAAAGTCAAAAATGAGAAACTTTGAAACTTAATACACGCTTCACTAAAGATATTCGGCAAATATTTTATGTGGAATTAAGTTTATCAAAAGTATTTGTCATGAAAATAGAGAATAGAGAATACTTACACAGCAACAGGTTCCTTGAATTTCCCACATTGTTGTATTTGAAACATTAAATCACCACCATTTACATACTGCATATTTATGTTGTTGTCGTTGTTGTTTTTTTTCGGAGTATTTTGTTAATGGAACGGAAAAATAGAAACGACAAATTAGAATTGAAAATTTTTTTGTGCTTGCTTTTATTATTGAAGGGGGTTATGGTTACGGTATCGTTTATTTTTCCTTGAATTTGCATACTGAAGGTGGAAGAAACTGTTGCAGAAAATAACTTGATTTGAATGTTAATAGCGAAAGGGTCTAACAATGGAAGCTGAAAAGGTATCAGTTTCTTGACTTTTGCATTGTTGTCACTAGTTTACCACAAAAACGTAACGTTTTACAAAAGTGCTGCATCTACATTAGATTTTAAGCCTATGCTTTATTTTGTGACCCTATGATTTTAAAACATCTTTAAATATCCTTTGTAGTGTCTCTCAACTTTGAACCATAGTAGCCATAACCGTCCGTATGTACTGCATTGATGTTCCCAAAGAAGGTCAATGTAATACATATGGACCATTTTGGTTACTAGGGAATGTTGTAGCGGTGTTGCATTATTCAGGTAATAAAGCCTATTAAAGACAGAATTATAAGACTAGGCACTTGAAAGAATTTGAGACTGATGTCATGAAAATGAAGCGTTTTCTACTTAACTAGGATTGGTATTAGGAATATTGGTATGCTTTATGCATTAATTGTGAAGAAAAAGCAAACTGTTTTAAAAATTCAAAAATATCCTACAAAATTCTTTGAATTAATCTAAAAAAATAAATCATGAAAAGAGCATTCTTCCAAAAAAAAACAGCATCAAAAGGAGTGGAAAATAGACATTTTCTTCCACACGAGTGTGCATGTTCAAGGAAAATAATCTCTTTCAAAAAAAAAAAAATCCATTATTATTTTATTCATTCTACAAACCTCCATGACAAAATATAAGCGATCCATTGTTTGGAAACATGAGTGAAGCTGTACAAGGAATGGTGGCTTGCCCGATTGAGCAAGTACGCGTTTCTCAACCATTGTACATTCAACATCATCATCTTGTATGATTATATCCTTTTTGAGGATTTTTATGGCATAAAGCTCGTCCGTTCCTTTACGCTCAGCGAGCATAACTTTTCCAAATGATCCTTTACCAAGTACCATGAGAAAATTAAAATCTGTTGCTCTTATAACGTCTTTTCTACCCATATTATGAGGTACATCCTTATCTGTTATGACTGGTGCCTTTTTTGTAATGGAAGTTTTACGCATTTGCATTTTTATTTGCGCCAAATCAGTATTATCATCCGGCACTGGAACATTGTAAAATTCTCCTTCTTCAGCTGTTAATAACTTGTACCAGCCCTTTGCTGGCATTTTTATAATCTCGCTTATGCCAAACGATAGGGAGCCCTAAATGATTAAAAAGAAGATATAGAGTAATAAATGAGTTTGTGATGTATAGGACATGGTGGGGTTAATAAGCATTTAAAGCCTTTTTATTCAAATAATTTATTACTTACCATAAAGTCATTACGACTTGTTCTATCCCAATCCCATACCTTTAAATAAGAACGAAAATGGAAGTGGAAGAAAGATAAAATAATTTATTGGTTTTGAAATGATTGTTGGTCCATTTTGGATCGTTGTAATGGAATTATCCCGGGTGGACACAGCCAGTTAAAGTCCATTATTGGACAATCATTTAACAGTCTTTTAACTTGTCGAAATATATACGATATAGAGAACTATACGTTAACTAGACTTTAACTGGACATTCATGCTAATCAATCAAGTGTTCGAAACTCAAAAATAATTTTCCTTACTTTTTTGACCATATACTTCACAAGCGCTTACAGAAATCACTTATATAAGGTCCACCAAAATTTGTATGAAACTTTTAAGTAAATATAATTGTTTCACGCGCAAGTGTTCGAGACTCAATTTTTACTAGAGATTTTTCATAAGTGATAGTGTACTTTAATTAATTAATTACACTAATACAATAATAAAATTTTACAAAAGAAAAAAATATGGAGAAAAAGACACGTGTTATTTATTTTATTTCGATTTTTTTGTAACTGGACATTAACTAGACATATTTGCAATTCCTATGTCCAGTTAAATGGAAAGCGCAAAATATGTCATTAGTCGTCCCTAAGTCTAGTTGCAAAGGCACGTCAATGGATACTTACTCGCCGTGAAAAGGCAAGTCAATGGCAAGCTTTTAACTAGTACTTTGTCCACTCGGGTATCTATGTACATACCTCTATTAATATACGGCGATCCTTGTCTTCTGGTTTCAAGTCACTGAAAAAAAAATATGAGAGAGAACTTTTATTACATGAATTTTACTAAAAACAAGAACATTAGGAAATGAATATCATATCCGATTATAGCATGGAAATTTCTCATCGATCATTAGTGACACCATGAATATCTGATATATTCGTTAAACTAATGAGTAATTGACCGCTGTTTATGTCAATTTCGTGCTGGTTTTCTATTAAGCATGAAAAAATTACTGAGTGGAAAAATTCAATGGAAAACTTTTTACACTCAGAGATTTTTACCAGCTGGGTGAGAATTTATGCTTCATATTTTTAGTATTTTGAATTAGAGTTCTGAATTATTATTATACATGTCCAGCAGCTATATATCTACACTTATATATAACTAAATTAGATGTAATCAAATTATCACATTAAACTTACAAGGTAAGAACTTCATTCCATATTGGATTGAGTGTTGCCTTTATCGTCTTTGTTTTCCTTTTAACGCCATCGGAATCTGGAATCAGCTTAACTTTAACATATGGATCGCTTAGGCCATTTGGATCCATTGGAATAAGATTTCGTCTATGTTAGAGAATTTAAGGAAATTAGAAATGAGAAAGACAAAAAATTACACATTAAAGATTCTCAGCGGTTCCAGAACAACTACTAAGGCGTAGAAATTGTCGTAAATATCCCAAAAATATCCAAAATAATCCATGAGTCTGTAAGTGCGATAATAAATATACACCAACAAATCCTTAGAATATTGGACATATGATTTTTGGATTCGGAGGGATACCTCAAGTTTAATGCAGCTCAGTTATTTCTTTTGGATAGTTTTGGGATATTTTCCACGCCTTGAAAAATTCTTAACACCTTGACTGATTTTTAAATATACAATTAAAGGACGTGGTTGGAATTTTTTTTTTTGAGTATTACATTCTCTGCTTCGTTCCTTGAACAATATGTAAAAAATATATTTTTTGTAAGACAAGTTAAAAAGTTTGAGCAGCTTAAAAGAATCCTTGAAAATAATTTTCTTCATCCTTTCATCAATCCCCTAATGATCACTAACTTCGCCATCTATTTTAATAGCAACTTAATGAAACAATTCTCTCAAAAATTTATTTTCCAACATGGTATTCCCACCCACAGTCAGACGAATTCACTTAGTGCATTTTAAAAAAGCACTAAATATTTTACAGCAGAAAATTGCATCTTTAAAGTCAGTCAAGGTAAGAAATAAAATGTAATATAGTATTTAATTAAATTTTCACTACGTGATAACAGCGAATTTTATGAACACAACTCTTGTTGCTTATTCAGATGACAGAACTTACCCTTCTTTAACTGTAAAATAAAAAAAAAGGAAACACGTAAAAAAACTAAAATTTTGTGAATAGAAAAAAAAAATATTATTTTTACAGCATACCCTCTATAGATAATTTATTGGCAACGCAATTGATGGCAAGTTGAATACGGCCACGACGTTCAGTGTGATCACATCCGCACAAATTCGGAACACTCTCCTCGCATCGTTTATGTACATTCATATCACATACTGAATGGTTGAGTTCGTTGAGTATTTTTAACACCAATTAAGGAGGATTTATATATTTTTTGTTGGATATCCGGTTGATGATTTATTAATATTCAGACATGGTTGATAATGTTTTGAAGGTTGATAATGTTTCAGTTCGGAGAAACACGAGAGAGAAATTAAAGATTAGTAAAGGAACTGTAATAAATTTTCATCCCAAATAGACAAGGTCATGTGTCAGCATCGAATGAGATAGAAAATCACTAACCAATGAAGCTACTGATTTACTATTCAGCATACCAAAGAGACCTCGTCTATTCGGGCATACACATTAATTCTAATTTATATATATATTTAGAAAATTTGCTTTGGGAATTGATTGTATTTTTTTTTTGTACAACATCGCGAATAAATCTTTGCTTCTAATTTGATGCATTATTTTTTTTATGTTTAATTTATATACAAGTTTCAATTAGTATTCCTAGTGCAGCACAAAGTTATATTGTTATGGGAGGGGAAAAAATGGTGATTAAGATAGTTAAAGTATAGCAAGGATAGTCCATGCTGTAGATAGTGTAGAAAATATCATTTTAAATGTGAAAATTAGTAGATTAAATTTATCTTGGGAATTCATCATCATTAACATACATGTTTTGTGTAATTGTATCCTGTATAGTAAGGATATTCAGCTATTTTTTGTGTCATAGTCTTCATTGATTCTGTTTTTTTTATCTATGAAATACACAATCGATCACTAAAATAATAACAGTAATTTCTTCTAAATGGATGAGTTGTCAAGGTTTTACTAGACAAAATAGGCTAAATGAGCAAGGCTTTTGTAGGGTAAAATGAGACATGTCCTTTATTATTCATTTATTGAATATTTAATAAAAATATTGGTAAGGGTCTAGATTCGCAATGGCACTAAATTAGGAATTTAAAATTTGCTCTGCATATTTTTCTCAAATTAAAAAAAACTTTAGAAAATGTCAAAAAACCTCAACTTTAAAATACAGAATTCTCAAGAAATCCTATAAAATGCACATTCTGCACTTAACTAAAGTGGACAAATACCATTTCAACACCACCCACTTAAAATAATATCCACAACAAGCAATTAAGTGCATTAATGACAGTTTATGTTTTCCATATTTTCAGTCCATAATGTTAAAGACACAAGAGTACTATTTAATAATGCTCAACCAATGAACAAGTCTGCTGTTAGGAAAACAAATGGGAATTTCATGAGAATACACTGAGCATATGGTCATAAATTGACATTTTCTAAATAAAGAGTTCTCAAGTAACATGATTGAGATAACTTTCATACTGAAACTCATCATTATTTACTCTCTGTTTTTCATTCGTGCTGATGTTCTGAGAATTTTAGTCAATTTTTGTTTATATTTAATTAAAAAGCTTTCATCTAAGATTATATAAATTTTCTGTTTATCGAACAAGAGTTCTTTTTTTTGTGAAAGGATTAAATGAAATAAATATGGTATAAAGAAGTTTAATAGCTTTCATAACATTGAAGATCTTGAAGTATGTCGTTAATCTTTTTGTAAGTGAAAAATATTCAGGTGTTGTGTGGCTTTATTCTGAAGAATTTTGGAGATGTTTTTAAGCTTAAAATCGTTTTTTAAAAAAGGGTGATGATGAAAGTTGTTTAAAGAAATTTTTAAAATTCTACGCTAATAAGTTTTAAATTCATTAGAATTCTGGTGGTTTTAAAGGAAGTTGAAAGGATGTTTTGAGCTTTAGAAGCGTTAATAAAATTTCTTGAATATTGCAGGCTCAATTTTCAATTAAAATATTAAATTTTGGAAGAGTTTTGAAATTATTTTGTTCAAGGCTTGGAAACTCAGGATTAATCCTGAAAAATCCCAAAAATCCTAAAAAATCCCTGAGCCAATAAACATGGAAATGTGAAATCCTTTTTAAATCCCGAAGTTATTCATCAAATGCATCAGGGATTTGAAAGGGATTTCACATCTCCATGTTTATTGGCTCAGGAATTTTTTAGAATTTTTGGGATTTTTCAGAATGAATCCTGAATCCTGTTTCCTAGATTTATTGGAGTTTTTTGAAACTACAAACTTATTCAATTCCTACTCATTTTTGTTCTCAAAATATGCTCAACATCCCTTCAAAAATTCTAATCAGTTATAAAAAACCTTTACAGCAAAACCTCATTATTTAAATACATGATCCCTCAAGAGAATAAACCTTCCATTATATCCCTAATAAATTCTCTAGAAAGTCTAAATATTTCCTTTTTAACAACTTCCATTTGTTGTTTATTGAAGCATATCATAAACGAGACATAAAATATAAATCATTTCTCAGTAGAATTCATTACATATCAACTAAGTTTTATCGCGTACCGTATACAACAAAACGTGATAAGTAATTACATTACATCACAATTTACTTGCTCTTGTCCTATATTTTTTGTAACACGTTTTTTTTTTCACCCTCGAACTTTAAGTTTTCATTTTTTTTATTCACAACCATGAAAGAATTTAAAGCAATATGTGCATTTTATAGTAAGCGTATTTTGAGAAAAATTTCTTTGATATAATGTCTTTTATATTGTCTATAACTTCATAGAACAATGAAGATAATCGTCCCAATGAATATATCTTGAGTTCATTTTCATGTTTGATATATGATGGCAATTATGTAAGACAGTGAATGTCGTCCAGAGTGAAAAAATTGTTCAAGCTTTTTTTCATTTTTATGTTCGCTTTAGGTTTTGGTTGGGCACTTGTGGAATGTTTTTGATAGCCTGGAATTTTCGTTTTTTAATGACAAGTCGGAAACAAGTCTAATAAAATTTTTGAGCATTTTTAAAAGTTTAAAAATCGTTGAATTGTTTTGAGAACTTAAATGCCAATTTCAGCTCAAAATGAATGTTTTGGCGACAAGATCGGAAGTAAATTTTTAAAATATTTTATATCAAGCTCCAACCCATCTACTGCATCAACTTGTTACAACACACCAAATGACTCATCCCACAAATGCTCACACCTTGAAATGAAATTTCAATATCATGACTGCAACTGGCAAGGATTAAGTGACACAAGTATATTGCAAGATATATAGATGTGCTCATACAAAAATATCGCAGTTTTTAAACGTCAAAAATTTGAATTTTCTAAAAACACTAACACTATAAAAGAAAATTTTCAATTTTTGTTTTGCAAAATTTTCAACTTTCTGTTAAGTTTTGTTGATACAGGAGTATTGCAAATGCTTTGCTATAATTAAAAGTAACTGACTAAAGTCAAATGTTGTTGCATCTGTCGATATTTAAATGAAAACTTGAAAATAGAAAATTTTAAAAAATTTTGTTTGTATAAGTACACAAAAAATAGTATGGTCGAGTATGGTCAAGTATACTCTGTATGAGCCCATCTATATATCTTGGTATATTGGAAAAAAAATATCGTCAGTCACCTGATTTGTTTACAAATCCAAAGATAGTTTTCAATATAAAGTCATGTATGATTTAGAGGAAAAAAGAACAGCAATAAGTCAACAAGTCTATTGCAATCTATTCATATATAAATAAAAAAAAAATTCGCCATCATTTTCATCGTGTTAAAGTAAAGAGCAAGTAAAAAGAGGAAAAAACTTATTTATAGCATCAAAAAAAGGGGCGATAAGGAGGAGGATAAAGTTTAATGAGTAGATGAGCATCATACGTGATAAATGAACAATATTGTGAAAGATTTTCTCCAACACGAACCCTTATAAAGTCATGAATATGTAACATACTTCATTGTTACCCTCCAAGTGCTATAAAATTAGAAAAAAAGCTTGAAGTTTTGTATGATCTCTCTCTTTTATTATAATCAGCTTAAAATACTATTATTGATGAGCTAATAGGAAATTTTATTGAAAATATTTTAATCACTTTTTTATGACAGACAATAAACGATAATTGAGGATGAATAATGAGCAGTTATGAAAGATTGAACTTCAATTTCACCATATTTATTGGATTTACTACGAGATGTGCTGCTGAAAGCTTTCTTTGTTCGCAAACGTGAGGGTGTAATATATTATATTTATAGGCATTTTTAAGGTATTCAAATTTTTATGTAAATCGTGCTAAATTTTTATTTCGTTTCTTTCGTACTGTTGAAAAGTTGTTTTGTATTTCCTATGGTGCTCAAGTTTTGAATGAACACATTTTGAGGTCTTTTTGCCCGAACAGCATAAAAATTAAATCGTAGTTTATGGATACAGCATTAAAAAGGTAAACTATTATAATTGTGGGAGTATATTTTGGATAAATCTCAATAAAATTTACTTTATTAGACTAAAAGCAATTTAAGCTATGAATTGTTTTAAATTTGAGTTTTTGGACTTATAACTGAAAGAATATACGAAAACCCTTAGAAATATCCAAAAATAAAATTTCTCATGCTGTTCATAGTAGCGTCGCTATTACTCCTTCCTTAAAATTCCATAATTTAAAGTTCATTCCGTATCTTACGCATTCCTTCATTGAAAAATTACAGTAATAAAGTAGAAATGTAATATGGAGTGTAAAATATGAACGTAATGAAGGAGTCGACGGCAGAAGAGTGAAATGAGAATATTTTTCCCAACACATGTCTTCATTTAATTTTGAAATGTGTGACAAACTTTGCAGAAGTTTATATGTTTCTCCTCGTGTCACGAGAAAAATTTCCTCCCACATAAAAATGCAAAGCTTTTCTGAATTACAAGAGCAATTTCTAGGAAAAAAAAGTTCTTCATATATGTTTTCTCGTATGAATAGAATAGAAAGGATTTTGTGAGATATAAACAGATTTTATTACAGTTGATCTAACGCATACATAGGATATTGATTGAGACAGTACATTCCATTGCGAATTTTCTGTACATTTTTATTATTTATCATGCATCATTTTAGTTCGAATTTAAATCGATTTTCTGTATGTACACTTGTGAGGTATCGCTAAGTATCTATTCCAGGTCACTAATCTATTAAAAGAGTTTTGTTTTTGTATTTTTTTGTTCTTATTATTATTAAGTCTACCTGAACACTTGAGTCCTTGGTTATATAGTCCATGTAATATACTTCCACAATGATCACAAAACGTTGGCGCTAAATATGTACTCACACGCCATTTATGAGCCTTCTGATTCTATTATCAGTTAAAGAAATGTAATGAGTTTTCATGGTAAAAATCTTATTTTTTTATGTTATATCGTCATTCATGAGACGATAGCTGTATATATATTTTATATTGAGTATTTCCAGTTGTACTGTGAATGTGATATTGCATAAGAATGAGGTTTTTATTAAGCGTAGTTCCGATAAAATGTATCTATACTGAAAACTAAATAGCATGATTACAATTTTTTGCTACATTTTTACTTCCCATTTTTTTATCTATTTCAATCTACATATTTTTTATATTATTGGAAAATTTCTCCTTGACCTGTCCGAAGCACAATATCCTCAATCCATATAAACGATAAAAATTATTTAATAATCAATAATTGAATTACTAAGTAAAATGATAATTGTTACAAAGTTGTAAACAGGTTAATAAAAGTGACTATGAATTTGATTTAAAGCTAACCAAGTCGTCTAAAATTTATTATGTGTGTAGTTAAGGCTATAAAGTTTTTTTATGAATTTGGGCAGGCAAACAAGATAGAAAATTTAATATATTTATTTTAAGATTCATGATTCATTCCTGGGAAATTTTGATATAATGAATTTAAATGATGAAATTTGGTCTGGCACGTTCAATGATAGAATGTGCTTTTGTGCCACAAAAAAAAATGAAGGAATATTTTGGAAAATTCTTTGTGGAATACATTAAAAATGGTTGTGGACCCTTTGATGTCTATTGTGAAATATGTCTGGAATTTTACACGTTTTAATGGATTTTGAGGATACTTACTTCCGGAGAGTTTAAGCAGAAATTTAAATTAAAACCATTTTGGTAAAAAGAATATCTTTTAAAATTCTAGCAGATCCGGAACATAGAAAAGTCTGTTAACAAAAGAAATCTGGATGTTTGGCAGAGATATGATCTTTAAAAACATTAGTGAACTTTGCTGTCTCTTTATTTTGATAGTTTTGAAAACTTATGGACATAGCTTATTATTTGGAAGTTTTGAAGATTTAAAATGAGCTTGAGATGTCTCAAGTCTATGCTTAAAGCTTTAACATTGCAATTAAAAATCACAAGGTCGTGCTTTCATTAGATTTTAAGTGAAAGAGTTTAATAACTGCATCAAAATTTTCTGCTTTTAATAACATCAGATTAATTTCTAAAGAAACTAATTGAAACTCCTTAAAAATCTGTTGTAACATGCCGTCGAAATTCTAACTGAAAATAAAGAAAATTAAACAAAAGAAAGTTTTCTGAAAAAAAGTCGAAACTACGCTTAACATTATCCTCACACACTGTCTAAAGCTATTCACTTCTATTCTATTCTGATACGCTAATTACTGTTACTAACATTATATAATGATTCCAAATAAAAGTTAATAATGTCAATGATATGTGAAACAAAATAGAACTAAGAATATGGAAAAATATCCTATAATACACACATGGTGCGAATAAAATACGGCGTGGAAGTTTCTGATATTTTAATTTGTTGAAATAAAAGAATTTAAATAATAATAATAATAAAAAAATTGCTATCGAATGATAAAAGCTTAGCAGCAAATAAAACAAGTAAAAACAAGTAAAAAGAAAGAAAAGAAGATATCTTAAGGGTGGATAACAACTAAATAAAGAATATAAAATGTCCCTTCAGCAAAACCTTTTGTAAAGTTCCTTTAAAAAGAAAAAAAAAAAACAAGAAAGTAAAGTATAAAGATAGAGAATGAGAGAAAGTTTCTCTCGCAATCTACGGTAATCTTCCATGATGAAATAAGAAAAACATTTGTGAATTAGAAACAGAGTTGGTTTATAGGAATTGACTGTACAAACAGCAATTCTGAGAACGGCTTGATTGCGATTCATTAGAAAAATTATGATTTTAATTCTATTTGTTTCTAGTCAATGAAGTGAATGGCACAAGTTGGTTAATCGATTTAAAATCCGGCATCAAACTGGGACGACTCTGGCATGATGCAGGATTTATATCAAAGCTAGCACCATGCCGGCTTGGCGCCAGATTTCTATTTGATTAACCGACTTGTGTTATTCGGATAAATTCGGTCTTAGTAAAGTAAATGAAACTTGTGACTTAACGCTTACTTTAAATCTCCATAAACTCAGACTAGTCTCGGTATAAGTGAGATATCAGTTAAGTATTTAGTCACAATCACCAAGTCACCAACTCTGATCAAAAATAACTTTTGTTCCAGTCTACAATAAAGCTTCTTTGTTGAAATTTTGTAGTATAACTATAAGTTATAAATAACATAAAAAAAAGGTCTAAAGCCTTTATTTACACGTTCCGATTCACACGTTTTGCGATGAATGAAAATACTTGACAGATCCTGCAAACTTTTTAAATTGAAAACCAAAATTTTGTTTCAACTTTTTGACATGCCTGAGACACTTTGCAATTGTTTATTTATATCAATTTCTGACATTGTTTGAGACTTAATTGAGCGCGAACGGATAGGAATTTCTGTAAAGATTACAAATTTTTCTTTTGTGGAAAATAGTAACTGGAGGTGATGGGTGAATTTAAATTAATTAAGACTTTTGTTTGATTGAGTTTGTTTTAATTAAAAATAGAGTTTAACTAGACCTGTATTCAATAAATAAATGTCAAGGCTTGAAAGTTTAATCTTTTGCTGTTGAATTAAAATTAAATTATAGAAATTGTCTTTTACATTTCTCATTCACTTCCATCTCTATTGAAGATTGTAAACTTAAGACAGTAACGTTAAGAAGATTGTCAATTTGCTGCAATTTACTTAATCAAATCGGATTATTTGTAATCTTTAAACAGAAATCCCTTACAAATGCATATTTACAAGAACGTCTAGAAAGATGCTTTAAAAGCTCTCTAAGAAATATTATTGCGATGAATCAGATTGAAATGTAGAAGCTTAAAATTTAAATGTCTTGTAGAAAACAAGAAAATCGAAACTATACTTGCATTCTCATTGTACATTTGTGAATCGGTTTATAAATTGACAAAATTTAAGATTTTTTCGAATCTAAAATCTATTAACTTAAATCATTTTCTGTTCGAGGACGAACTTCAAACCAAAGCTATAATTTCAATGACATAATAAGTTCATATGGATTTCCCTAAAATTGCGTTTGCCTGCTACAGAGTCACTTGGACTAGATGTGCAAATAATTAAAATTATCATCATTAAGTGTAAAAACTTAACGAAATTTTGTGAGAAAATAAATGATTTTAAAGTGCTTATAAAAACTTTTTAGTATGTTTGCAAAAAGGGGGGAAAAAATAAATTTTTCATATAGCTGCCAATTTTGTAGAATTTATCAGCTAAATGTGAAGCATTGAAATGTTGATTGTCATTTACACAGTGATGTTAAATAAGCGAGACGTTTTAAGTGGATGATGAGTTTAATAGCTTAGGAATGAGTTGAGAAAAGTAAATTTACAAGCGAAAATGAAAAAAAGTTGTTAGTAAGAGAATTTAAAATTTTAATAAGATGAAGATTTTTCGATTAAAAAAATTGCTTAAATTTTGAGAAAAATGAATTTTTGCGAATTAGAAATTTAGAATTGTTTTTTTTTTGTGAATGGATAAAGATTTTGTGAATTAAAAATTTAAGCATGATTTTTTTGTATTGTGCAAATTTTAAACTTTAAGAAAATTATTGAAACTGTTTTATTTCACCAAAGCAATTTTTAAAAAAATGTTTGAAAATTAAACTTTTTTCGTACCTTGGCAACGTAAACCTTGATGTAATAACCCATAAAGCTGTTTTCATTCAATTTAATTTTTATTTGTCATACAAAAGAGAAAAAGTTTTATTTTGTTTACTTTTAATCATCAAAAATGGTCGCAATTTCATCAAACTCATTCGGATATTGATCTTACCAATGAACCGCAGTGGTCACAAAACGTGGGACTCGCGTATGTTTGTGGTCCAAAGTTGTGTTTTGTTCGTGTGTCCTTTTGGTGGAATTAAAAAATCTTTTAATATATTTTTTTAAAGTCATAAAGAAGTCGTGATCTGTGAGAACAGCACAGATGCTAAACAATTTGACAGAACAAAAGAATTCAATTAAAACTAAAAATGTTGAAATTCCTCCGAATTTGAAAGGAATTTAAAGTGTCGAATTATATGGAAGCAGAATGAAAAAATTGTCAGTATCGAGATAAGTGGAAAAGGTCACATTTTTCAGCTCCTTTCTTTTTAGGGTTTCTCAATAATTATCGTTAACTTTCAGTATCTGACCCTTATTAACCGACAGATGGATATGGTTTATCGAATATTGCCAATGAATCTGATGACAATTTATAGAATAAAGACAATGAATTGGAAAGTATTGATACTGAAAGCAATGAGACCTTATCGGAGATATGAAGAAGAATTTACAAGAAAAAGCAATTTGGTTGAAGGATGTTGTTGAGAACTTTTTTCACATGATCCTTATTGATTAAAATGATTTGAAAAAAAAGAAGGTTTATGCCTTCAACTCTGATATTTAAATTTTAATTTTGATCTTAATAAAATTTAATTTCGATCCTTTTTTGGGGATGATTGTCTATTTTTAATGAAAAACGTTTGAGATTATTTTAGAGTGGTTATTTAAGCAGAATTCATTCAATTTAGTCACCAAGAGCAAGAACCTGTCCTGGCTTACTTCATATAACCTTCACAAATGCTAGACATAAATAGCAAATGACTACCAATTTAAATCGTGCTGGTAGCAGCAAAAATTCTCTGAATATTGTCTTTAACAATCCAAATGAAAAATTTTCATCCAATAAAAAGTTTTTTTTTCTCCCATTGAAAAGTTATTTCAATCTACAGAAATGAAAAATTTATGCAATTCACGTAAAAATATATTTCCGTAAAATGATGAAAAGTTACACTTTGTAACAAAAATACATCAGGTGTATTGAACCAAAAAAGAAAATATCTGCAGATTGTTGAATAAACAACGATTGGCTCGGGGATATTTACTAGATTCATAGACATTTTTGTTAACGAGAAAAAATTGTGAATGAATATTGCGTAGGATGTCCATTTGCGTAGTTTTTGAGATGATTGAATGATGCAGAAGTTCGTCATGTTGTAGGAAGTAGAAAATATCAAATTCTGAACGAAATTGTGGAAAGTAATTGAAAATTTTTGGTGATTTAATTGGAATAAGCTGAGCCATAGCTTAGCTTTCCAGAGCTGTTAATTCTGGTTATAATTTCCTTTCGGCTTTCTACATGACTCTGCTAACTAGAACTGCAAGTTGACAGTCAAAACATCAGTTGAACTACAACCAAATACAAATTTCTCTCAAACCTCAACCAAACGTAGTCCAAGACACTAAAATATATAATTTATAGCATCTTAGATTCACAAAGCAGATAAAAATTCCTTCGGTCAGGACAAGTGTGAAAAAAAATTCTCATTTAAAATTTCATCTTCTTACCAAATTGTTCATGATTAAAGTAATGAAGTCATTGAAAGATCAATATTAGAAAATATTAGGATTTTCATGTGACTCGACTTAGAGATAAGAGAAACTTTGTTCCTTTTGTGAAACTCTTGAAAGAATTTTTTTTCATCCAAAGTAGAAAAAAAAATAAGAAATTTTTTCATTCAGATAGAAGGAATATTCTCATATTTCCTTGACGGTAATTCAATACATTTCCTGATTTTATTTATAAAGAAGTCCTTGTTGAATCGCTCACATGATTTTTTTTTTATATGCAAACATTCTAAAATATTTTTTTTCTCAATTTAATTTTTTTTAAATATCGATCGAATTTCTCTTTATGTTAAATTAATAATATACGCATATATATTTTCAATTCAACAGAGAGAATTAAACGAAAGCTCTGAAAAAGGCAAATCCCCCAGAAAAAAATCCCTCCATTTATTTATTCATGCATGGATTCGTTTATACTTAAATTTACATTTTCGTTACTTTTTGGAATGAATTAAATGTTAGTCATGTTGAGATTATAAAAGAATTTTCTTTAAAGTGGGAAGAAGATAAAATTTAGAAAATTTCTATCCAATAAAATTAATTGAGGTCCTTGCGAAGACGTTTTGTCAGAGTTTTTGAAGGTTTGCATTTTTCTTTCAATTGAGTTTTGAAAGCATTTTCATATTTTTTTGGTTGTAAAGTTCAACGACTAGCAGAACAAGTTGGATATGTGACAATTCTGTGACAAAATAGTTTTTGTAGCTTAAACCCTTGATTGAATGTAATTTACATGACCATAAAAGTAAGGAAACAGCTATTCTGCGCCTCTACCGCCTAACTTTATGAAAATGTGATCAATAATTAAGAAGAAATACTCAAATAAATAACCATTTTAATTAACATTTTTGACATGTGATATTATCTATACATAATTCATATCCAAATCTAGAATTTCCAAAAATGACTGCTGCAGACAAAATAAAGCATTTCTTAACACTAAGTTCGCAGCACTTTAGCACTAAATAGGAAGAAAGTGTTAAGTGATTCAGATTTGAAGGCGTGTGTGAAGTTCAATGTTGAAAAAATTTTATGACAGAAATGTGACAACGACAAGAAAAAAAGAATTCTTGATTTATGACACTAGCTTGCTATTGTCACTCAATGTCACTTTCAATGGAGTTGTTTGCAAGCTAACATTATGTGCTTGCTGTTTATAGACTAATGAAATTTATTTATAATAATTTTCTATCGATTTTTTTCCGAATATTTAGGTTAAACTTTATGGAATATTGAATTGACAGCTTGAACTTGAATGTCCGAAGAAATTCTGACAAAAATTCCTCAACAGGACGTTAGAAAAATTTCGTGAAAGATATCCGAGAAAAAATATTCATGAAATTACAACAAAACGCTCAAGAACAGTCCACAATTATAATAACTAAGGTAATACTTAGAACAAGCTGTAGGGATGATTTATTTGTTTTCTAATATCATGATATTTATCAATTACATTTCTTTTCTTCACAAAAATCTATTCTCACGCAAGGGACTGTTATGATAATACAAATATACATGATAATTCTTATTGTATATCCAAATATCATCCTCGTGGCATTAATTTTATTAATTATTATGCTTTTCGTCTTACCATAAAAATAGGATATAATTTATGTATTATTCATAAGATAAGGAGACTTTTAATTCATCAATAGTCATTAAGTATTCATAGTATGATTGAGAAGTTGATGAAAAGGCATAAAATCCACATAGACACATGATTTATTGATGAAGTTTTGTTTATCCATGCTTTAATTAAAATATCAATTCGTGCGAAATTTGACATTGGGATTTTTTATTACTGTCAATTTAGTTAAAGAGGATTTATTGAAGGATGATTTGCCTTAATCAGATAGGGGCCATTTACTTATGACGTCTGATATTTACAGTCATTTTTCAAAAAAGAACAATGGAATTCCAGGAATTTCTATTGTTCTTTTCTTTATGACCCCCCCCTCCCCCTGGACGTCATAATTGAACGGCCCTATAGATATTTTTTTATAGATTTTGAACAAGAATAGTTTGATTTTTAAGTTTTGAGACGACTACACGAATAAAAAACAAGGAAAACTGGTAAATTAGGTAAACTAAATTAATTTAATTAAACAAATTAAATCAACTTAGAGAATTTAAATACTTTATCAAAATATTTGTTAGCTAGGATGAATATCTCGATGAATATCTTACTGTCCTAATCAGAAACGTAGCCAGATTGTGGTGTTAATTAGTGAAAGTTCTGGCTGCAACACAAACTAAGATCCTTGAATTGGAATAAGTGAGTTTGGATCACAATTTGGCTGATTTCGTTAAATTCAAACTACTTCTTCCCAAATGAAGCTAGAATTCAATCCATTTCATTTGACAAAACAGCAGCAAAACCTAAAATCATATCAACAATTCCATTACTTTGAGCCACCTCCACTCAAATTAATTATTCCAACTCGAATCAAATTACAAAAACTTTTCGGACTGGTAACATATCCATCTGAGAAACCCATCCCCAAAAATAAATTAACATTTATCCGCCCTTAATCCAAACACAGTATTTTTACTCCCAACACAAACAGAAAGAAACAAATTTTTTTTGGCTTGTTTTGTAACATAAATTCCTACATAAAAATGATTTTGTGCTTGAAAGTAAAAAAGTATGAAAATAATAAAGTAAATGTCATTTTTAAAAAGAGTGACAAAATAGGTTTTTATATAAAACAATCATATCAACTTACATCGGAATCAGCTCCTTTGTCAGCACCTGGACACTTGAATGTAACATATTCATGACATCGCTTATGCACGACGAAGGAACAAACTGTTGACAAGATTAGAATTGAAGAAGATTTGATTTTTTTAAATCTCATTCTGATGTGGTTCTTTTATGTCTTGATATACCTTGACACTGGAATCCTTGCTTGCCGAAGCCCCTTTATTGTACAAATATTTTTTTTTTGGTCGCATGATTTTTGTCATGATCGAAAAAAAAGGGATCCATTGTGTATATTTTTAGTCATTGCGATTGAGAAAGGACGATTTTTGTTGATATTCAATTGTTTATAAAAGTGAAGTTTAAGGTTGAGTAGTTTTTATCATTCCATGAAGACGTACCGAAGTGGATGGAAAAAAAAGATAGAAAATAAGATTACAAAATGTAAATAAATTTTATTATTCTTCATTCAATTCTTTCGCATTATATCTGTAAATATATAAAGTGATTCAAGATTCCATTAAGAGTGAGAAAAAAAAGTACTCGTGGCAGAATTTATCGATAATCTACAATAATAATTTATAACCACAACGCGATTTTGAATTTGGACGATTCTTAGTTGGGATTTTGGGAGACATAAAGAATCTCGATTAGAAGATTTATTGACAGAGAATTTTCAGTATAAACGGTTTTTTCTTAAAATGTAGACTTTGTCATTAAAATGCCAGGTATGCTGTGAATTTTGTGGCAAAAAATTATCATCAAGAGCACATGAAGCTACATTTTACATAAACAGTAAAAGAAGCAACAATGTCATCAAACATCCCACTAGACTGAAGTCATAAAATTAACTGAATTAAGCCTTACCCCATCATAACTCATAATAAATTTTATACTAATCAAATATGATTTTAAAAATAGAACCACTTCATCAGTAAACTTCCGTAATTACCAATCATTTAAAATTATTCTGTTGCTTGTCATTCAATCAAAATTTATGGACGTTTCAAAGGTCAATTTTGTATAATTTCTGAAACATTTTCATTAATTTTTTTTTCGCATGACAACAAGCGTCATTCCACTGCTTCTTTTCATATTGACCACCAATTTCCATATTTTCTAATTGAATTACTTTTTTTTAAACACACGAGGGAAAGTTACACCTACATTATGTTATATTTATGACATCGAAGCGTGGGAAGCTAATGAATTGATTTCTTCATATTCTGTAATTTTTTGGTATTTTTTTTTCATTTCCCTTAAATGATCTTGAATCACTTTATAATATGCTGCATAAAAAGGATCTCAATCTAAATAATTTAATTTCAAATAAAACATTTTATTACATTTCATTGATGAGACAGAAAGAATTCAATAAATAATGATATAAAATGCATGAGAAACAACAACAAAATGTCAGAAAAAATGAGCAATTGTCAATCAAATAATATTAAAAAAAAATTGAAATGCTCAGCTTTTCGTTTCTTTTTTTCCTTTGTTGTCATTTCTCTTGTAAGAGAAATCGGCTTATGAATTATTGAATGGAATCATGAAAGTTTAAATGTTATTGACATCAAGCAACATCAATTTTGATGGAATAAATCTCTACTTTGTTCTTTGCTTAATTGATTGTTTTGTTTAGAGGCGGTTCTTAATGTCTGCGGCTGTAGTGTATTCAAAATCAGATCTTTAATGTTCTCTTAAACAGTTTTGCTGTTTTTGAATGCAAAACGAGGAATTAAATTGTTCCAATATTCAGAGTTTGCAAGTGTTTTGGATTCCACTGTGATTTTTGAAAATAATGTTCAATAGATGTTCAATCACAGACAACCTGTTTCACTAAGGTGGATAATTCTTAGTGAAACAGGCCGAGAGTTTTTACCTCAAAAGGATGAGCCCTTCATTTAACATTAAATTTCATGAAATACCACGAAAAAACATCAATGCTGTCAAACCACAAACACTTGATAGCAATCAAGGCGTAAGCAAGTAAATGTTCTAATTAATCAGTAGAAAATCAAAATAATAAGTCAATATTTGTATGAATGTGTCTAATAATTGTCAATATTATCTTCGGTTTATCAATGTTGATGAAAGATGCATGTGTGTGCTACTAAAGAATCATCATCCTCCTCCCGAGTAACAACTCGAGCGCAAGGCTTATACACTCGAAAAAAAAAGTTGAGATTTTTTTGGGGATTTTCCGGGATTAATCCCAAAAATCCCGAGTGTATACATACGCCTTGCTCGAGCGGTAACATTTTTCCTTAAAACAATATTTTTGTCTTTCCATAGAATTTAATCGTGCGTAGGCTGTTGAAAATAAATTTCAAAAAGTTCTCAGAAATACCAAGTAGATCTTCAACCTACAACTCAAAGATTGGAAAATTTCATCAAATTTATTTTTTCAAACAAACCAAAAACAATCATTTCTTGATCAACAAACTGTCAGTTCAAGATACTGGGGGTCCTCGATTTGAGTAGTTGTTTTGTTCCAAAAAATTTCTACTCAAATCGAATCTATTCAAATCGAGGCAAAGAATCCATACAAAATCACATGTTTTGTTCCAGAATCCAAAAAATGTATTAAAAGAATGAAAATTTTGATAATTTTTTGCACATTTTACCTCGTTTCTTAACTTTTACTATGTGTTTTAGATAACTTAATTTATTTCAACGCATATTCATATTGTTTTTAAACAGAAATTCACAAAAAATATGTTTTTGAAACAAAACAAAAATATGAGATCCTTGTTATTAAACCCAATTAAACCGAACAATTTGTAGGGTTTTTGAATTTGAACTTTTTAAAACCGTTAATTTTATATCGATTTTTTAAATTTTTACTTTAATTTTGTAACTTTAGTATTGATTTTTCGATAAATATGATAAGTTCACGCTTATTGCAGAAAAATTTGTGTTTTAAAATATTTTCTGAAATGTTTTTATCAAAAATATTTGTTTTGTAAACAATTCAAATCGAAGAAAACAGGAAGAAATCTACTCAAATCGAATATTTTGGTGAGTAAAAAATTTTCTGTTCAAATCGAATCTACTCAAATCGAGAACCCCCAGTAATATGTAGCTAATGACAAAACTCCATCTAAACACTATAAAACGACCCAAGACCAATAAGCTAAGTCATTTACAACCTTTTATTATTAATTATCGCCATTTCTTTCTAATTACATACCCCAACAAAATTTTATTTGACGTAGTTTTATTTTTTGTGTATACAAAAGTTTTCCTGACATTCACGTTTCGTGCAAAAAAAAAATCTCGTAAATCTGATTCATTTTCAAGTCTCATTTACAATTAGATCCAGATTATTATTCTATTACACGCAAATTATGCCACTCTCTCATATTCAATTAATTTGAATTAACCTCAGCCTTCAGTGACTGATGACATTTCTCATATTCATACATGCGATAACGTCGAGAAATGAACCGTACAAAAAAAAAGAGATGAATTACGATTCATTTTTCGTCAAGTTTGAAAAATTACTCGTTATAAATATTTTTATTCCATTAATTTATTTTATGTCATTTATACTCTATTCATCGACTTGAAAATGGTCAACGTAATTTACTTCATAAATCCATTATTCAATGGAAATTTGCGAGCATGGAAGAGCAAGTTAATAAAAAGATATTTTTGAAGGTCACGTTCATGCAAGCTGACTGATGAAAGTAATATGTAATGACTATCGAAAGATTTATGTGACAAGTATGTAATGTAAGTAAAATTTATTGTTGGACGAGAATCAACTGTTAAATTCACACCAATGCTCGATTACAAGTCTATTATATTGATTGAAGTTCACTTTTGATAGTGATATTATAATTTGTGTGTCATTAAATGACATGATGAGTCTCGTCTTGTTAAACATTATGGATGTGTTAAGCGATGGATAGATTGCATTTTTGAATTATATTTTGCAATCACGCGATCGAGGAATTAGAAGAACAAGTTAAGCTGTTTGTTGTATTGAATTGTGCTGCACGGAATCTTGAATGAATGAGCTTTTCGTACATTCTTTGTTTTCTCTTTCTTTCGTCAATACTGAATGAATATTACAAGTGAATGAAGATTGTACACTTTAATCGATGATATCGACACGTTTTCAATATCATTTACTAAGTTGAGATTATCAAACAATCAATCATGTAAAACTAATTTTGTGAAAAGGTCCGAGATAACATTAGATATTTCGATAGGGAATTTATCATTTTTATGTGGATGTAGGTTGAGTATAATCGTAGATTATTGTACAAATTTACTATCAAATATGAAAAGATAATTGAGAGGTATTTGTAGAAAAATAAGAATTGAAAATGTTCTGTGCTAAAATAAGTTCTAATTTCCAATTATTGTCCTTACCAGACTACCGTCATTTCATATAACATCCGTTAAATTTATATTCAAAAAAATTCAATTTTTTTATGGCCGTTATAATATTCAAAAATTTTTGACGGTTAAACCAGATTTTACCATGCACTTACTCATTTTGCTCAAATTTTATTCTTAATAAAGTTAAGAATGGATAAAAAAAATATAAAATTAATAATTTATGAAGAACTTTGGGATTTGTGCAGAATTGGTATTAATTAATATAATTTATTGTTTACATAATGCAACTGTTTTTTGAAATTTGAATTTTCGGCTCTAATGTCGAAGAAATCGAAATTAATTTCGAAGAAGTCCGAAACGAAATGGCGGTAGTCTGGTCCTTACAAAGAAGTCGGTGAACTATCTTTAACTCTACAAATTATCAAAAAGCTAAAATTTTCTTAATAAATCCAGTCTTGCTGGGTCTAAAACAATATTAACAAAAAAACTAGTTCTTCATCTTAAGCATGTCCTTGAGGGGCGTAGCCAGGAATTTGAAAAGGAGGGGAAAAAATTTTATATCGAAAATTCAGAAGGAGGGGGGGGGGGGGGTATTTTTATGATTTTCTCATAAAACTCCTAGCAAAATGAAGAAATTTCTGTTAACGTCGTATTTGTCCCCAAAATCCCCCCCCCCCCCCCTGGTTACGCGCCTGATGTCCTTCATTCAATTTCAAAACAAACATAAAAGAATTCAACTTGAGACAAATAATATCGCATTATATTTATTAAAAAGGACAGAATACAAATATATTGTCTTTTCCTTGAATGTAGCCTTAAATATATGCTTGTATATTAACATCGTCTTCCCTTTAACGACATGGATCA